ATAATTGATTCCCCACCTCCCCGCTGTTTTTTTCTTTCCCTCCCGTCATGTCATTTCCAATCGATTCCTTCCTGTGTATAATGATGAGAAGTTTCCCGACTTTGTTTTTCTCTTTCACCCACTCCACCAGTGGAAATTTGCAAGCTGCACCAGCAGCTTAACCAAAAAGGATTAACTCCCATATCCAACCGAGAACACAGATAATGCTCGGTAATTGGTAAAAAATGAAGATGAATGGGACAGCAAGATAAGGACCAATTAGCTCCTCCACGCTTACAGCTGCGGTCTCTCTACAGATCCATCTCTTGAGTACTGGCCTCCTCTGCCAGAAGAAGCCTGGCGGAATTAGCGGCCTGACCTCATCGATGGTGGGAAGCCCATCCATCATCTTCCTCCCTTCACTTTTAATTCTGTCCCTAACATAGACACCTGTCACCAGCCCTGACGTGACAGGCTCACACTCCCCACATCCCCAAAATGCTAAACGCCAGGTCTGGGCCAGGTCTGAGCACGCTAACTTGCTAAATTGGAGAAACCCACACAAACATGTGCACACATACATGCCTGAAAGTTTGTCGCTTATTTCATTATGGCAGCATCATCTGGTTGGTGATACACACAATTCCCCCATCTAATTACGGAGAGGATTTAAGGTCCATTAACGTTGCCGTGGCAAGGAATCAGATGCAAAATGGCACCCAGTGGCCACCAAGAGAGTGATTCTTTTCACCTCCTTCCATTTCTTAACCCGAAGGCTGCAAATGCGTGAGTCACAAGAAAGGAAAGAAAGAAAATAAAAATGAATAAATAACCAAACAATTCACCTTGCTGAAAGGAGCAGGTGTTGGTTTTGGTTCAGTTCAATTCAATGCAAGGGAATGGATCGCTGTTTGTGTGTCTTCCAGGCACATGTTTTGCTTGGTTTGTGATCTGTAATTGTGCCGTTTCCTGTGAGTCAATGGAACAATCCACATTGTAAGAGAAGGGAACCCCCACCTCCTTGAAAAAAAGCTGGGGAAGAATCAAAAGGGAAGCGAGCACTAAGCTTAATCACGTTCGCCTCCTCCTCTCTCGCTCAGGGTGTTTGGCTATTTGGCTCCAACTTAAACTGGCTGACTGTTTTTCTCTCTGTTTTTGTAATTAATAATAGTGATGTGAGCCGGTGAGAGTGATTGAGTTGAATATTTAATGCAGAAGAAACATTAGCCCATCCAATTTGCATCAACACCAACAAGTCCAGAGGAGAGTACAATGTCCTTCACACACTTCACATACTATAAACACTTCAGACTAAATCTGTTCTAGACTACACTGCAAATCTCCATCAGAATATATATCAGTGGTGGAATAGAAAATGATTCATATTTGAGGGGGGGAAATAGTAGCAACCATACACAACACCCTACACTGAAAAAAAATGGTGCAGGATTTATCTTAAAACAAATCATTTCAAATACAAGTAACATTTAACTAAACATGATATTTTCAAGTAGAATGAATAAAATAGTATTTTCTTGTAAAACATACTCCCTAACATAGACCACTTTTAAATTTTTTTTTTTTACAGTTTAGAAACCCTTTTAGAAACCCCGAATGCCCTTTCAACCATTCACAGCAAATGTATTACACATGTATTATTAATATTTTTGGTATTTATTGTGTGTTCTGTGTTAACCCCCTCTAAGTGACATTTAAAAAAAAATACACTTGCAGTGTCCCTAAATAAATCATCACAGCATATGCAGCTGTTTTAATATAGCACCGGCTCACTTCTTGCTCATGACATTGTCCACACCTGTCTGGAGAGTTTAGCTGAGTTCCTCTGTTCTAAAGTCATCTCTATATCTGTCAAATGATTTCAGACTCTGGACTCCAGCTGCAGAAAGCGCCTATAAGCTGGACATAATAGGCATTCACAGTCCAAAACCATTAGAGCCAATCACGGTGCTCCGAAAAGCAGAAGTCAGCAGAGCACCGCAGCTAAGAGTTTATTTTCACAGTTGTGTGTTTTCTCTGGCACTCTTTTAAAACACCCAGATGTGATATCTGTCTCAGTTCTCTGATGAAATGACCTTTCTGTTTTAATGCCGTAATGATCCAGAGCAGTGAGGGAATTCGCTGGGAGACGGGAATGGAAAACACTGTCTATTTCACTTAAAAACCTAATTTATGTTGCAATTAAAGGCTGAAAGGAGCTTGTTTCTCCCCTCTGGCTGGCTGAATAGAAGCAGCTATATTTCGCCCTCTTATCATACGGGTGACTCCTATTGGCCACCCCGTCACAGGAGAGTGCTTGATATAAACAAGAGATTGCACTGACATCCAGTAATCAATATTAGGATGGCTTCAGTACCAAACATCATTTGTCTCAGCCTCCATTCTTTTGACCAAACGAAGCATTAATTTATATCATAAATCTGGGAGTGATTTAAATCCCGGAATGAGAGGCCCGCCTGCCTTTAATGATTTATTTTCTACATTTCTGCGAGCGAGAGATTTGTCTATATGCGGTGACAGGTCACCTTCAAACGCCAGAGGAAGACTGTTCATCACCATGCAGACTAGCATCTCATCGCTGCGAGTAAATATTAAAGTAAAAGAATCCAATTGATTGTGGATGGGTCGGAGAGGCATCACGGCCATATATTTCACTCAAAGCTTCTAATGCCTCTCTAGTTCAGCTCCTTCGCTCACTGCTGGGCCTGGAATTATTATTCTTCAGGGAGTCTGCATGCTCAAGGTTACAATTTAAATTGTAAAAAGATAAAAACAGTTTCTTATTAGCCCCATTGCCGCAGCCTCGCCTATTCTGATTCGCATTTATCTTTATTTCGGTGACCTCGTGGCCCCCCGCCGCCGTTCGCTGTTGGATGGCCTCAGCTCCAAGCGGCTTCCTTTTGATAAATCTGCTTAGAGCGCGCCGTGTTTTGCCAAAACCTAGTGTCAAATGCAGCTGGGAAATCCTCTACGCAGGGTGGATATTCACAATGGAAATCACACGCGCACAGTTCAGCTCAGGGATTATGGTAACTGAATCATTTGTAATGGATTTGTGGTTTAATATAACAGTGTAATTTCCACAAAAAATGGCTTTATGTAATGTTGCAAAGAGAGAGAAAAAATCAGAATGTATCTGAGAAACGATTAATTGGAGCGGGGGACATTCAAAACCAATTTTCTTCACCAAATTGAATTAGAGGCTCACTTAATAGCTATTAGCTTTGGGATAAAGTGCTCATGGATGCATTTGATGTGTAGCTACTTTAAAAGTGCATTACCTGCTAATGATGAATTTGGAATCAACCAAACAAACTGACTGCTCAAAAGAAGATTACACAAAGCTTTCAAGTTTCCTTATAGATTTGGACGTTTGCAGTTTAAACTGCATTTATGTGAGTTAAGGAACATTAGGAATTTTGCGTATGTAAATAGCAGGAATTATGTTTAGTTTTATAACAGCAGATCAGTTTGTTCTTAAAGGGATAGTTCACTCAAAAATGTTGTTCCAAAACCGAATTAACCTTTAAAACCCGACTTTATTTTGTGGATTAAAAAAAGATGATATGATGAAAAATGTCAAAGTGTGTTTTTGACTAAACTGATTTTTTGGACAAAATGGAAAAAGTGTGGAAAAAACCAGTTCAATTCTTCAAAATATCTTCTTTTGTGTTCTAAATGAAAGAATGCAGGTTTGAAACAACATGAGGGTGAGTAAATGATGACAGAATTGTCATTTTTGGGTGAAGTATCCCTTTAAGTGTAAAGTCTGAAACCCTGTTAACTCTAGCATATGAGTGCTTCTATCAGTTTCTGGTCATCTGACTGGACAGTGCTAAGTACGGGTGTAAATGGGATCCAAAATGCTTTGTGAATGCTTAAACTATATGGGGAAGAAGGGGACATATGACTGCATCGCATTTGTCGTATGACCTGATGACCTGATGAGTCCCACCTACTCATGTGCCATGTGCTAAAACAAAGGTTTTAAGCAAGGCCTAAAACTAACTTTTTGCCACACCTGTCAATGGCCGGTGACATGATAAAATTTACCAGCCAAAACTCTTTTTTACCGGCCATGAAAATCTTTTTGCAAAAACAGGCAGTTATTACTACTACAATAACTAAACATATTTACAATGTTTTTAATTTGTCCTGCTGGTGCATTTTCCCTGAATTTTACCTATTAATTATAGCCATTCAACATTACAGTATAATCGAAAGCCATTATTTTTTACATTTAATAGGCTCTGAAATATATAACAACTTTTAATTTAAGTGATTTTAAAACAACGCTTATGACAGAACATCTATTCACGATGATCTTGTCTTCGGAAAAGATTATTTTATTCGATTATGTCAGAAACAGCGAATCTCTTTAAAAACTGGCTGTTGTTTTCACTTCATTGCATTGTTATAATTCGTAAAAGTTGTACCCGCCAACTGGCGACTGACACTGTTACATGGACTCGCCAATGCTGATTTTTACTCGCATTTGGCGCTTGGCGAGTGTTAATTTTAGGCCCTGGTTTTAAGCATTGTATCTATGCGTGGCCTTAAAAGAAAATAACCTTTCAGTTAAAAATTAGGAAAGTGCATACATATACATGCACAAGACTTTGTCTGATAGCAACATGCAGTGACAGACCACATAAAGCATGTGCATCTGAAATTAAGTTAATAGTCCATAACTAAAAAATGGTAAATTGCATAAATAGAACAAAATGTGCTAATAACAAAAAAACAAAAATTCGTTGTGCTTTTTTCTTTTTATTTCCTTTTTTTTTACTTAATCAACATTTAGTCATGAAACCAGATACCCTCCCCTCAAAATCTGATCACAAGTAGTCACAGACTCACAGAAGACACATTTGAGAAGCATGTTACTCCCAGGTGTAAACAGTGATGTGTCTTGCCTGACCACTTGTGACGGATCGCGAGACGTTTGCTAATACCAGGCCTGCATGCAGTGTGAGTCACTCTGCTGGTGGATGGTGACTCACCCAGACTGGAGCTGAGGTCTCCGTTCTCTGAGTCGGCCCCAAGCTGGGTGTTGCTTCCGTGGTAGCTGCTCATCACCTCCAGTTTGATCTTCTTCACCTTCATGGCCTCTGCGATGGCAGCATTGGTGGCGGCCGCAGCTGCTGCAGCGGCGGCTGTGAGGCCTACAGCAGGAGGACATAAAGATGAAGTCACTGCACCATAAAGGTTAAACTACAATGGGCCTAAAGCAAGGGTTTGGTCAATAAATTCTTTTAGATTTTTTTTTTTTCTAGTCATTTCATGGGGAGAAGAGACAGTAACATAAGAACAACAGATTCCACATTTTCGGGGGAAAACTAGAACTGATTATTTATTTATTTATTTATTTATTATAGGATGCATTGGATGCAATTGGTGACAATAAAGACATTTATAATGTTACAAAATATTTCTATTTCAAATAAATGATGTTCTTTTGATCTTTCTATTTATCAAAGAATCCTGAAAAAAATGTTTCCAGAAAAAATATTACAAATATAACACTTACAAAAAAAGAAATATTTCCTGAGCACCAAATCAGCATATTAGAATGATTTCTGAAGGATCATGTGACACTAAAGAATTAAGAAATGGTTGCTGAAAAATCAGCTTTGCCATCGCAGGAATAAATTACATTTTATAATAAAATAGGAAAGTTATTTTAAATTGTAATATATTTCACAATAAAGCATCCTTGCTGAAAAAAAAAAATTACTGACCCCAAACATTTTGACTGTTGTATTATTGTATATTATTGTTTAAAAATGTTAAATAAACAAATAAATAAAACCAAAAGCTAAATGGATTGTTTTAAATGTTACAATTTTAATAACTTCAGTTCCCTTTCAGTCGGTCACTCCGAGTCACGTCGGTGACCGACGAATTGGGATATCGCTTCGATAGACCAATCCACTTTGAGTGTAAACTAAACGAGCCAATGCACATTGGCATGCAATTATTGCACACAGCTGCCGCTGATCACAGCGTGAGTATAATAAGGCAGCAGGTGCAATGCATACCAGCTTTTCGCTTCGGAGCCAAGCGACAACATCGTTCTG